GGTGTATAAAAGAGGGTGACAACGTGACGGGGTAATGTAATGCGTGTACAGACAGTGAGTAATTGAACTGCAGTCAGAGAGCACGAGAGACGTTACAGCGTTTGTTTAGCGCGATTGTTGAAGTTGAGTGTATCGGTAAAGTTATATTCGGAAAGAATAAACCAGTTTTATTAAGAAAGGACTTGTGTCGCTTAAGTTTCGTCGGAACGAAGTTACGGAAAATCAATTAACAAACGGAGACGTAACAGAACGTTACTATTCAAAATTTAAATTTTCAAATACTATACATTCAGCGTGAACAAAGAAAGAACATAGAAAGAGAAATTAATTGAACGTAAGTCTTATTTCATCAGTTTAATAACATATTTCTTGTTATTGTTATTTATTTAGGAGCTACATTTAGTTTTAAAAGTGAACAGCACAAAATTCACCAGTTCATGACATTTAAAAGCACTTCTTCTTAAAGACCACTGCCCGGCATGGCCAGGTGGTTAGGACGCTCGACTCGCAGTTACACCAAACATGCTCGCCCTTTCAGCCGTGGGGCGTTATAATGTGACGGTCAATCCCCAGTATTCGTTGGTAAAAGAGTAGCCCAAGAGTTGGCGGTAGATGGTGATGACTAGCTGCCTTCCCTCTAGTCTTACACTGCTAAATTAGGGACGGCTACTGCAGATATCCCTCGTGTAGCTTTGCGCGAAAAAGAAAAAACAAACAAACAAAACTTAAAGACCAAGACAGGAAGTACTAAAATGCTATTTTTAACTTTAACATTTAGATACTTAGAAGGATAAAAAAATCGTGATTAAACAGTGATTACGCTCTGTTTTTCTCAAAATCAATAATTTTCTTATTTTTTAAGGGGAATTTGACTTAAAATCCCACACTGTACATTATAAGCATTTAAATTTCAAGAATCTTATTTTTAAAATTTTATACTTAATTAAGTTGAAGTGTCATTACAGTCTTTTCATGTCGTCATAATACAAGTATAACGTTGTTGAGCAACGCTTTTGAACTTTTAGCGTGAGTTTGGTATGTCTGTTACTAAAGTATTAGATGACCTTGCGTATCACGTGCTGAGCATATGTATTTGAGTATACCAGGTTTAGCTCGTGTGAGTTTCTCATTGCAGGTTTATTTCTAGCATGGATAATTCCGAAGTTGGTGAACAGATTTCTGGCATAAAAGTTCCAGATATTGATAATTTGCTACGAATTGACCCGTATTTGAAACTCCACGAACATGAAATCAGGAGAAGGTTAGTATCCATAGGAACTAAAATTATTTAGTTTAGCTTAATAACGGAGCAGTTGTGCACGCAACAAAAAGCAAATAATTTTAATTAATAATAATAATAATATTATAATATTAATATCGGCGAAACGTGGGCTATCATTGATCGGTAACTTGTTACTGTTAGTTTATGACATTATATCAAGATAAGATTGATATTAAATTGATGTAATTGTAATGTCATATAAATTACTGATCAATAAAAAGCGAATATTAACCTCATACAAGCTAACTTCACAAGACTTAGGTTTGTTCAATTAAAGTTACACTTAAGACAAGTTAAATTAAGAGTTTTGTAAAGCGATACAATTTAACGCAATGATTTGTATTATATGTTGCTAACGTCACTTAAAACACGGAGAATGTAACCTATTGTATTTAAACTTAAAGTTAAAGTACTTATTCTGCAGCGTACACTTAAGTATTGCTTTTAGTATTATAACTTGTATTCCAAGACATTAGGATGGCCAATGCCAACTAAAGGCCTGGTCACTGTAACCATTTTATGTGAATAAACAAAGTCAAGATTGAAAAAAAAAAGTTATCTGGACTAGAGAATTTTTAGTTACACAGAGATTTTTTAAAACTAAAAGTCGTTGGTGTAGCAAGCATTAATCTTTTTAAACTTATATATATTGCAGTTAGAATGCCTTTTAAATTTAGTATCCTGCCTTCAAAACTGTTTCAAAATAACTTGTAATATTAGTAAAACTATTTGCATGTGATCTGATTACAGATTCACTTTTAATTATTAATTTTAACAAAAAGTAATAGTTTCAAACAAAAAAGTACCAAGAAGTATGCATACAGCAGTAACAGCACTTCAGTTCTAAAAAAAAAAAAGTAAGGCAACTTGAAATCTATTCACAAGATGCATGTTTTTCCAATCAGGTATTTGACATTTGTTGTATGTTTTTTTTTTACTTGTGTTGACAAGGGAATGATTTTTTTCTTTATCTTTAACGAGGGGAATGACATTCCAGTTTACCCTCCTTTCCTCAATCAGACCCCTGTATGCATATAACAAATTAGTTCTGTAGTTAGGCTGATGATATATTGGGAATTAAATCTAAATGGGACAAATATAATATACAAAATAGGAACTTACAGATAAATATTGTTTAGTTTTAACTTTAATTCTTGGATGTTTTTACATTTATGTTAAATATTTTAACATTTCATTAAGAAGTGTATGTATTTATTTTTGTGTCATTCTTTAAACTTTTGTAAATTCTGTTCTCATTTCTAACCTCAAATTAGTTATTAAAATTTGCTTAATATGACATGATGCAAATCTAATGATAGTTAATAAAAGTAAAAAATAACAGAAAAATGAATGACATAAAATAACATATTCCAACATCACATCTTTTACAGTTGTATATGTTTAGTATTTTTATTAAAATTATTTGAGTTACCATTCAGTTTTGCTAACACTATCACATATGCAAATTTTCTAACTGACCAGTTTTCTCAGTTAAATAATTGTTAAATTAACACATTTTTGATAAGTTTGTAAATTTTATACTAAAGGCTTTGCTTCAAGTGATGGTTTTTTTCATCACCTGACTCCTCTCTCTCAAAGCATTTGTTTCTTGAATGAAATTACAATAATTTTTTCATAATAGAATTTAAGCTACATTTTATGATGTTAAAAGATATTAATTTTTAGGTATGGAGTATTTAAAGACTACTTGAATAAAATAAATGAACAAGAAGGTGGACTAGCCCAATTTTGCCGAGGATATCAGTATTTTGGAATTCATGTAGATAGTGAAAATGGAGTTTGGTGTCGAGAATGGTGTCCTGGTGCAGAAAGAGTTTTCCTAAGTGGAGAATTTAGTAAGTTTATCTCAATTATTTGTAAAATACACAACAGTTTTTAGGTAGCTGAATAAATTTCAGTTTTATATTTATTGTAGATAAGTCGGCATTCTCTGACCACTATAATAGACAGTTTAGTGCTGACTTTTTAAAAGAACAACCTTTGAAGTATTTGAATAGCTATCCATGTGGCAAAGATTTCTCTTTCAGTTTTAGAATATTTTTTAGAGTGTGTAATATGATATGTATTTCAAAAGATTTAAGTATTTTGTTTCAAAAAATGTGAATACTTGTTTTTATTTTGATGAGTGTTCTGAAAGTTATGTTTTTGTGGTGGAATACACGGGAAAACTAGGACTAAAGTTTTCTTACCTTGTTGTTCAAAAAGCTGTATAGGTCTTGGAGTTTTTGGAATAATTTATTTAAAGGCCTAATCAATATTCTTATTTAAGGTAACTTGTGTTAATTACTAATATACGTTGATTCAATAAGATTAGTAAATAATAGTACTAAGATTAAAGTGTTAAGTTAGGGCTTAGTTGTTTAAGTACTACAAATGTTAGATTAAGCTTAGTAAAGGTAACATGATTTTAGCTACAGTTTAGCCTATTGGTAAGTTATAGAACAGGCAAACTATATTGTATTACTACATAAATATCATCTAAAGACTTGTTACTTGTCACTTTTAAAGATAAACTCGATTACTTTAGTTAGAAGATAAGGTAGTGATAAATAAATGTAATATATTTAATATTAGGTTTAACAGCATTGTCAATAGGCAATTTGTATTTAATGTTGACTATTAATTCCCAAGTTCCAATATTTAAGAGTAGTGTATGTATTAAGTGCTCACAGTTTGTAAGGTGCAATAGGTGTAAAGAGTGGGTTTTATTTTGAAATTCAGGACTGGGATACACTTTCAAGGAAGGTAGCAGTGAAGTTGTGTAACTTGTATGTAGAGTTTGTATGCTAGAGGAGAAATCTGAGCCAATCATAATTAGAGGCAGTAGGTAAAGAAAAAGGTAAAGTGTGGGAAATAGCAGCAGGATTTCTAGAGGAACATATACTTTTGCATGCAAAGGACACAGTAGCTAATAGTGAGTTTCGGGAAGTTAAAAATAGTACTAATAGGGCTAGAAATAGTGGATTTAATTGTAATGAACGGGTTCCATTAAGTAATAAATTGTAGTATTTAAGTTAATTTGTGTGGATGAAGAACTGGGGAAGAGAAGGAAACAAAAGAACAGATAAGAATGGGAATGAAAAATGTAAATATGTTATAGGTGATTCATTAGTATGTCACATGTATAGGATATTCTGTGAGGTAAACAGGGAGAAAAGAATTGGATTATGCTATTCATGAGCAGGAGTTTAGGTCATAACTAACAGAGCAAGTGATATAGTAATGAGTTGTAGCAGTGATAGTCTTTGTAGTGCATATAGGGGCTAATGATTTAGGGAAGTGAGAGGAGCTAATTGTTAAGTACAAAGGATTGTTAAAGGCATTTAAAGAAAAGGGCCATCATAACTTAATTCTGTCAGATATTCTTATGTGTAGTAATTTGTGTTGGTTACAAAAATATAAGTTGATTTAATAAGATTGATAAATAATGGTATTAGGATTAAAGTGTTAAGTTGGAGCTTGGTGATGTAAGTATTACAAATGTTAGATTAGGCTTAGTGGATGCAACACAACTGGCTACAACTTAGCTTATTGGTAAGCTATAAAATGTAGATAAATGTATTACTACATAAGTATAATCTAAAGACTAGTTATTTGTCACTTCTTATTTTAATGATAAATTTAATTACTTTAGTAAGAAGATAAAGGAGGTGATTAGTTGAGAGAAAAGAATGATGTATGATGGATGATGTAACTGTCAAAGCAAGTGATGTAATAAAGGAAGCTTGCAGTGATGCAGTCTTATGTAGTGCACATAGGGGGTTAATGATGTAGGGAAGGGTAGGTCAGTGGAGCTTATTTTTAAGTTTAAGGCATTGAAAGAGATTGGCCATAATAGCAGTTTTGTCAGAGACATTGCTAAGATACTGGTCAAAAGACTATTTAAATTTGCTGATGACATTAAAGTTTTATATGTTGCTGGCTGTGAGAAAGATGCTACGGCTTTATAAAAGGATTTGGATTATTTAGTGAGTTGGGTGGATAAATGACTGATATGACTTAATTACAGTAAATGTAATGTAATGCATGTGGGATGTCACAATTTGAATTATGAGTATAACTTTGATGAGAATAACATTAACATTGTTATAGAAGGAAAATATCTTAGTGTTCTGGTTCATCTGTCTCTTAAGCCATCAAAGCAATATGTTGTTGCTAGCAGTGGAGCAAATAGAATTTTAGGTTGTATCTATAGCAATATTGAATACAAGTCTTAAGAGGTTGTAAGGTCATTGGTTAGGCCACATTTAGAGTACTATGTTCATTCTTGGGCAGCTTAACTTACAAAGGACATTGAATTGTTGGAAAGTGTTTAGAGGAGGTCTACTAGAATTGTGCCTGCGATGGAGGGGTTTTCATATGAGGAGAAGTTAAGATCTCTGAAATTGTTTTCTGTTGAAGAAAGAAGAATTAGAGGGAATTTGATTGAGGTGTTTAAAATTTTTAAGGGAATCGAGAGTGTTGATACATCATCTTTTTTCATATTTAACAATGAGAATGGTAGGACTAGAGGACACAAATATAAATTTTGACAGTGTAAGAGTCATCTTCAGCTAAAACAGCTTTATTTTTTTAAGTGGGTGATTGGCATTTGGAACAGGTTGCCTTCAGATGTGATAGATGCAGTTAATTTATGGGATATTAAAGGAAAGCTTAATAAATATTTGAGAGATGAGGGCTTGCTTTGATTTTTTTTAATGTTTAGTGTAATTTAGTGGATAGGACAGCCTGGATGGACTAAATGGTCTCTTGTTACCCATTAATGTCATGTATGTCCAGTATTGCACATTATGTCACAATAACTTGCAACACTGACTTCAATTCAAGTCATAACTGTAGCCCAAAATGAACAATTCAGGATGACAGAAGGTCTGCTAATAACTTAATTAAGGTTTTGCTGTTCCGTTATTATTATTATTACACTTGTAATATTTTTCTTGGCATCTCCTCCCCAGCATTTGATATAGATTTATGGCCATATAATCATACCAGCTACAGGTGTGTACCATGTTAATCAGTTTTATGCCAAATTATACCGAACTTTATGCTTTATATTAATATTTCTACAAATAAACAATTTTATATCAAAGTGTCTGAAGCATTTTCAAGTTTTCAAATTTATATATGAGTGTTATAGAGTATGGCTATAAGTTGAGCAGTCTTTACTTGTGTCAACTGTATCTAAACCTTAATTATTGCGATACATCTATACAATGAAATATTAACAATGAATGACAACTAGCATAATAACAATAGTTCCTTTCATGTATGTAATTATAAAAGCTATAGAAATAGCATAAATATATTTTTGAATAAAACTAAGTTCTAGTGGTTTAAGGGTAACTCTGTGTTGGGTTTTTCTGAAATACTTTTTTTTTTCTGTTCATACTGTAGATAACTGGAATAGACAAACTCATGCCTATAAAAAACTTGATTTTGGAAAGTGGGAACTGTATATTCCACCAAAACTTGATGGGTCTTGTCCAATTGATCATCTCAGCAGTGTAAAGGTATCTTATTTTTTTCTATCGAGCCATGATCCAGTGCCCTATAAAACTTGTGGTGTTATGTGTAACTATATAACTGTTGTGGTGCAAATAATTAGTGGTGAGTATAGTCATTGATTATACAAAAACTGGTCATTTTCCAGCCTAAGCTAAGCGTTTGGTTACTATTTCAATGACTTATTATTAATTGGTTATAACAAATGGGAAAAATGAAACTTTTATGATCTGGTGAATTCAGAAGTTTGTATGGCAGCAGAAACAAAGAAAACAAAATTCAGGTTTGGATCTCCCAATCAATGGAAATTTCTATCCTCTGTCACTGTATTAAGTATGCATGACACTGTGGGCACACTTTATGGCCATCTGCATGAGTGCCAGCAATTGGCTAATGAGTGTGCATATCACTCCAGAATCAAGGTTATACTATTGTGGCAGTGAAAGCCAGACTAATAAAGTAAGCTCCTCTTAATTAAGAAATTGTTCAATATTTTTTGTAAAAATCACTAATTAAAAAGAACTCTTTAATTAATGGTTACATTGGTACCAGTAATGGATTAATAATCAATCTTTGGTTGGTTATTATTTTATAACTAATTCCTACCACTGCAAATAATCTGTATTAATTTTGTGCTCTAAGACATGTTATACATTTGTATCCTTTCACTGTGCATCAAAACATTGTCATACTTTTGTGAACAGTATTTAATCTGAGTGTCTTTCACTTTCGTTACACCTTACTATTACCTTCAGGAAAATAAGTTCATAAAATTTGTCATAAAAATTAATAAGCTGCATTTAGTTAAATGATTCTTGACATCTTTTTGACACAGCTATTATAATGTAACATTGGCCATAGATTTTAAATGTTTGTTGAAGAAAGAGGACACAAAAAAATTGACATTTGTTATTGCTGACTGCACTATAAAAATTATTATATTATAAAATCTATTTGTATTATGCACCTTACATGTATTTATAGGTTGTTGTTCAGACAAAGTCTGGGGATCTGGTTGACAGACTATCACCATGGGCAACTTATGTCAAGAGGTCAAAACATTCATTAGCTTTTGAACATTATTTGTGGAACCCTTCTGAGAATGAGGTAAAAAAAATGTGTGTGTGTGTATATATGTATGTATTCACAATTTAAGCCTTGACCACTTAATTTTGAGTACAGGATTATTTAAAATGTACTGAATAAGTTTGTAGATTTTAGTATATGATATATGTAATTTATGCATTTCCAGGAAAATAAAATTTATATTTATTGAGAAACCATTAAAGCAGCAAAAAAGTGTAAGAAAAATGTTTTTAAATTTAAAAAAAAAAAAGTTTCTTTGATTTCCCCTTTTGGTTTTTGCTATTGATGATGAGATTGTATTAAAACACCTGATCGTGGAAACAAAGTCTTTAAACTCCATCTCACAATAAATTTCTTTAAAAGTAAGTACACAGGTCGAGTAGGAAGCAATTAGAAACAAGCATTGGTATATATGAAAAAAGAAATGGATATTTCTATTTGAGTCAGACGAGAGAGTTAAGCCACATTCTAGGTGCTTGAACATCATTAGGTTTGAGAAATGAAATCAAGAAGTAGTAAACAGATAGTCAAATTGTATGAAATAAAGTTTTGGCTAGTTGTGGCAATTATTTGAATTCCAATACACTGTATAGGTGGATCTGGAAAATCAAGAGGCTAATACTTTTAAAGATCTGTTGCCCTAGTCATTTTCTACTTTTTTTCTACTTAACTCTTTTGCTTGAGCATCCAAGAAACCTTCTTCACTTCTTTCTTCCACTAGGAAGCAAGATGTGTCCAGAAAGATACCTGTGTGTATTTATTGTTTCTTGAACAGTATTTTTACCAGTTCATCTATCTTTCTCCTCTCTGATTGTTAGAGGTTTTGTCATTGTGTTTTCACAGAAGTCTGTTAAGAAAGTTTCATTGTGTTACTAAGAAACTAAGATACCTTTAAACCTTGCAGGATTTTGTTTTTGATAAAACTGCTGTTCATTTCAGTATTGATTTGTTACTTTCAATAGAGATACAAGTTTAAACATCCCCAGCCAAAGCGACCTGAGAGCCTTAGGATATATGAAGCTCATGTTGGAATTGCTTCTCCTGAACAAAAAGTGGCTACTTACAAGAATTTTGCAGATAATGTGATCCCTTATATTAAAAAACAAGGTATGTTTGAATTATTATGGATGTTAATTTTTAAATAGCATTTTGAAATTTTAGCATTTTTATATCTTTGATGTTGGAGCACACTGCCAGTTATGCAAGTAATTTTACTCTTTGTGTGTATACTAGTTATTCTATTGTTTAATATTCCCTACTTTTTCTCTTACCACCACTCACTCATACAAAAACATCACTACAGGTATACCATATTTGTTGCATACTTGCACATTCCTACAATACCATGATTTATAAGTTCTCATTTTCTATGATGTTACTGAAAATCTAAATGCTAATTTGCTCTTTTTTTTTCAATTTTTTTAAAACTTTGACAAAGAACAGTCTATGATCAGAAATGCTTGAATTATGAGATGCATTTCAAATGAAATTATAGATTTATACAAGATATGCAAATGTTGTTGTAATGAGGACTAGAAATTAGACATAATATTTGCTGTTGTATGCATAGGAAATTGGTTTTAAGTTTGATTTCCCCCAAAACCTTAAAATTGTTAAGTTTTATTTATGAAGATCCAGGACCATGCATTAATGACTACTTATAAATAGTTCAAGAAACATGTAAAGCATGTCTTTGGAAATCTATTTTCAAATATGTCAAGTTTCTTTTCTTCGTTAGTGTTCAACAGTAAGGTCTTAGTTATTTTGATTGTCTTATAAAATAGTCAATTTTATTCAGGAAGAACAATCTTTATAGTAATTCTCAGCTCATGCTTTTAATGTATTAACTTCTAAATACCAAGTAGCAACTAATGTCTCAATGGTCACATTGTTTTCCAACAAATATGTTTTAAAATTAAGCCTCTTAAAGCTAATATTGTTTAATTATGTATGATAAAAGTAAGCATGATTCATATGCAGAGAAGTGTAACTGCTTAACAGCTGTTAATAGAACACACACAGAGAAAAAGATCTACTAACACTTTGACTTGGTATTAATATCACACATATATATGTGACTAGATTTGGAAAATTAGGTGGATTACAGTTTAAGTTTTACCACGTGAATGAAAACTGCACTTTTTTTTTGCAAGTAAAATAAATTTCACAGTAAGAAATGTTATCTATTTATTATTAAAGTTATTTACAGTGTATATATGCATGAAACCATTCACTGAGAATTACCTGTGGCCCATAGATAAACCCCTTAAAATATATAAATGAAACTGGGTGATGATATTTATATTTTGTAACTAAATACATGCATGTTAGTGAAATAGTTCAATGCTTGCGCTAGTAATTCAATTTATTCTTTCATTTCTTCCTGTAACACAACAGGAAACAATATGAATTCTATAGTATCAGTACTGAAGCAAAATGTAGAGAAAATACTTCAGTTTTGTTGAAAACAATATAATAGTGAATAGTATTAAAAGAGCTGTATGAAAGTAATTTTAGTCTGCTTCTATTATGTTCAAGTGTTGTATCACTCACTTGTTCCATTAATCAAGATATTATATATGATATAGCTTTTTTATTTAGGATTAAAAATCTTTGAACATTTTACAACCTGTATGCTTAAACATTCAAGAGTGTCTACTTTTATGCATCTTTTATTCTTATATAGGATACAATGCTATTCAGTTAATGGCAATAATGGAACATGCTTATTATGCAAGCTTTGGATATCAAGTTACAAGCTTCTATGCTGCTTCAAGGTGAGCATTTTGGTTTATTTCTATAAGGCTAAGACACCAAAAAAAAACTAAGTTATTTTCAAAGCTCATACGTTCAGATCAAAGAGTTCTTGGATGCAGTTATTTTTTCTTAATGGTTGTAATTATTTATGTAAGTTGTGTTGGCAATAATATGATGTAAATCTAGCCACCATTCATTTAAGCTTGTGTATCATTTTTCTAGTTCTCAGGTGTTCTATGTTGTCAATCCATACTTGACCAAACAGAGATGATTAAATAAAACAAGTACTATTTTGTTACCTAAAAAAAATTAAATGACAGTAAAAGATCAATTGAAAAAATGCCATAATAGAATCTGAAACAAGGATGCACATCAACAATGTCAATGCATAAATTTAAAAAGTACTAAAGTATTGTGAGAGTTGATAACAATGTGGAGAACAGGTTACTGATTTAAAATATCCAGAGTGATTATAAAGTTGGTATGGGCTTTTGTAACAGTCTCTTGGGTGAACAGTATAGCATATTAGTATAAATATTTTACATGTATTCATAATGAATTATGAAGAATTAATTTCAGTGGTTTTCTGATAAGTGTCACTGTAATAATTGTTCAGTTTTAACCCTTTGAGTACTGTATTTATCCTAACTGTAACATGGAAAATCTTAGGAATTGCCCAAACATCTATTGCAATGTTTTTTTCTTAAGGGATTGTTGCTAGTTTATAGCAATAGTCTTGTATTTTTAGAAAGACCCATAACCAGAAGTCAGCAGGGGGGATGGGGGGGATGTTAGATCAGGGAAGCATAATAGCCAGGTATGATTGAAGTAGCAACTGGTCCTCATCAAAGGTCTGCATGAGTAATGTCTTTTCTTAGTACACTGGGTCCCTGTTATACATTGCATCACTCTGCATCATTTCATTATTAGAGCATTCACCAATTATAACCTATGTATCAAACAGTGTTGCCTTTTTTTTGTTATTAGAATGTTCCAACAGTGTTGACTACTTTTCCAGGTGTAGTGTTTACCAATTACTACCAATATTTTTGAAACAATGTTACCTTGTTTCAGTACTAGAATGTTAAAATATTGTCAGACTGTTTTACCAGGTGTAGTGTTTCCCAATTACTGAACAGTACTGTACTACTAATATATGTGTGTAGCAACATAGCAGTGCTCAATTAGTAGAGCGTGCCAACGTTGTTAGACTAGTGTACTGGGTGGAGTGTGATATGTCATCCACAGGCCAAGACAGCAGAGGATGTAAACACAGTGTTTATGCACCATTGTCTGAGCACTTTGTTTTTTTTTTTTTTGCTGCAGAAAAGCCTTGTTTTCACTCTTCTAACATGGCTCCAAAGTGGTCACCTAGTGATAGTAAAGTGTCCATTGCCAAGAAGCCCAGGATAACAATCAACTTTGTCACTAAACTGTTTTGTTTAATGTTCTTACATACATGCTTTATATAGTACGCTGTAGTTAAAAAAGCCATGTTCCACCCTTTAACCCTTTGCTACATAGTTCAGACATATCCAAATAAACATTTATACCAACTAACTACAAAATTTGGATTTACTCCACGGCTACCAAAAAGTTTCCATCCATTGTGACATGCTGGAATATCCCTCTGTAGTTGAAACAATCACCAAACCTGTGTGCATGCTGCCATCTGTATTGTTTGCCGTGAAACCTAGATGTTTATTTGCCACATTACGAAATTGCCAAATTTGCAGGAATACATATAGAATTCCTGCAAATTAAAGAAAAAAAACAACTTCTTTATATCTTGGATATTGTTATCTAAATAATTTATTTTATATTTTGTAATGATTTTGGCCTCTTATTGACTTCGTTTTGCCTATATTTATGCCATTTACTGGAGAACACTTCTAATTTTCCTCAATATTTTATTTAAATCATAAATTTTCACCATCCAATATGGTTTTCAAGGAACATTACTGTCTTATATAGAAAATATAGCTTCTTTTAATATTGTCAAAGTAATACAAAGGGTCAAATTAATACTTTTATTTTTTGGTGGATGACTGATACTTTTTGGGAATCAGCCTGAAAATTAATTGTGGAGTGAAAGGGTTAAAAACGTTATTCAGGAGTAGACAGAAATTTTCAGAAATGCATCCTATAATACATGTAAAGATTGTGATGCTTAATGTCATTTGAAATGTATGTCCCACTTTCTAGGAATGCATTACGATGTATAATGGGGATCCCCTGTAGTTGATGTGGTTTAGTGCACTTTCTTACATGAATGTGGCATCTGGGAAACATCTATGCAGGTCCCAGATTAAAATTTGCAATGAAAGTGTACACTACAACTTCTGGTGAGTGTATGGATGGGGTCAAAGTGCATGTGCCACAACCTTTTACAAATTACCATTTAGCATGAAGCTCCATCAACATGATCCATTGTTCCAAATACTACAACATTTTGATAGAGATAGACTAATGATCATCCATTCTATTTGATGCTTATACATTTGCAACACCTCCTAGTACCATTTAAAGAAACATTTAGAATGCAATATTTTACCCATGTGTTTCGCAGCATGCTCTACAAACAACTGCAGTTACCTTTGCTAACTTTATGACTACACAGTGTGTTATTTCACTGTTTGAATTGTACTATACTTAAATGTTTTGTCTCATGTTTTCTGTATAAAACCTTGGTTACATTATGTGAATAATAAGTAGTACACTAATTAGTTACTTGTTGCTTAAACAGCCAATCTTGAATTTGTGAAACATTTTTATTTTAAATGAAAAAGTATTATTTTCAGACATTAGTTCTTATTTATCTTTTAAATTGAGAATTAAGTAACAGAATGAAATTTTTATAGTTTAACTATACCAGTTAAATTTTTATTAAATATTTAGGATATTAAATGTTATCTTTTTTTCAAAAATTCAGTCGCTTTGGCACCCCAGAAGAACTGAAGGAGCTTTTGGACATTGCCCATGCAAATGGTCTTTATGTACTCTTGGATGTTGTACATAGTCATGCTTCCAAAAATGTACTAGATGGACTGAACCAATTTGATGGAACAAATTCTTGTTTTTTCCATGACAAAGGACGAGGAGAACATTCCTTGTGGGATAGTCGCCTTTTTGACTTCACACAGTAAGAATGCAATGTATAGATTAAATACAGATGTGTACTTCTTTTACTAAATTCAAGATTTTGCATATGTTAGTTGACATAGCTAACATGTAAATTCTCTGCAGTCTTATGCAGGCTAGAACACCACTACCATGAAAATCAGAAATATCCCTTGTATATAAGTACAAGACCATAAATAGCCATATACTGACCTTATTTTGTAAAATTCATACCTATATTTTTTATCCCTTTTAATTTCACCCTCTAATAAAATAAAAATCCTTCATTTTGATAAACATTGATGCAATTAAACAGTGAAAGTCCTTTGTATTCAGATCATCAACTGTTCCAGAGATCCACCTGACAATTTGGCAGTATGTCAACAATTGCATTTCTTGTTACAAATTATAACTCTTTCCCTGTTACTTGAATTTGAAGATATTCCAGATGGTTCTGATTTCTTTACATCCATTTTTCATGAGCTAACTAAAAAAAAAATCACTATAAATTCAAATTACAAAATTGGCACCAAACCAAGGCAAAATGATGTTTGTGATGCTGTCACTTCAGTGTCTCCGCCTGAAAGGAATGTTTGAGATGATAGGCATGTGAATATGCACCCATAGAAACTTTGACCAGATGTTACAACATTTGCATCATGCATCAGTGACTGTGTTAAACCATTTGGTATAAAATACCTAACTTATGTCGGAAGTTCGTGATGTCAGAAAAACACATAGGTTCAAGAATTCTTAATATAAAATTATAAAAATGCTCTGGTAGCATTTTTATCATTTTATGTAAGAAGTTAATAGTGGTTCTGAAATGCATTTTGATGTAGTAACAGTACATCTAATCAGTATATTGCATTTTATGAGGAAAAATAATAATCTTGAGAAAATTTTTTATTTAACCAACATTTTAGCTATACCTAAATGAAGGCTTAAGCCAACATTTTTGTTAAACAGCTCTTTCAGGAGAGTAAGAAAATGTTTCTTCTAAAAGAAATTGCACCAGTATTTGAAACTAATGTTGAAATTGTCATAGTCTGATTTTATTGTAGAATCGGGAACACCACATATTGATTTATCAGAGAAAAACATTGAAACATTTTAAAATTGTATCGCAATGTGATTATGTACACAGTTCTAAGCTATTAGAGACATTTTCGATCTTAATATGATAATCAGTTTACTGTATAGTCATTTATATATTTAATGATTGTTATTATTTTTTAATTTAAGAACTGAAGTTTTACGGTTCCTCCTCTCCAATCTTTGTTGGTACTTGGATGAATATCATTTTGATGGTTTCCGATTTGACGGAGTGACATCTATGTTGTACCATACCCATGGGATCGGGCATGGTTTCAGTGGAGACTACAATGAATACTTTGGTCTCAATACTGATACAGAGTCATTGAACTATCTGATGGTGGCCAATCACATGCTACATGAGCTATATCCTGAGATCATTACAATAGCTGAGGTAAGGGTATTTAATGTAACGTTTATTTGATGGTCAAAAACAGTAGTTTTATAGAATAGTTAAAAATAAGTTATAAATGTAGTTTTTTTGTATATTAAGTTTCTGTTGATTCAAGTCAGAAGGCTTACAATGTATGAGTAAAGGTAACACAGATGGAGTATAACTTAGCTTTTAGAACATTTATCGTGTATGTATGTTGTGTGTGTGTGTGTGTGTGCGTGCGTGCGTGCGTGTGTGTGTGTGTGTGTGTGTAATTGCTTACAAGAATCCTAATCCTTGTTTGGGTGAAAATTTAATAAAATGATCCAGCATTAAAGAAAAAAACACACCATATTTAGTTGAAAAGTTGCATACCAAAAAAAATATTTACAGATACATTAGGTTAGGTGTGTGTGGTATGTTTATGAACTTGTGTTTTGATTACATACATACATACATACATGTGTGGTGCATATTTGTTTGATTGTTTACAGGATGTCTCAGGAATGCCTTCCCTGTGTAGACCTGTTTCTGAAGGTGGTATAGGATTTGATTATAGATTAGGAATGGCCATTCCAGACAAGTGGATAGAGGTAAGGGTGATAATGGCAAAGAATTGTAAATATGGGGTAGATTTATTTTATTTTGCAACTAATCGATCCAGATTTTCCATTTATATTTCATGGAAATTTTTGTATTGCACTTAACACTTTTTTTAGGCTAAAAAGAAAAAAATACATAAAGTCTATTGTTTCCACATTTATGTAAAATTGAAATCTTTGTTTTTTCTTATCTTTAAACTGTTATCAGACCATCTGAACCACAATGAAAAGCTCTTAAAGTACATCATTATTATTTTCGAATCTTAGAATTGCAGGGAATACAGTGAATGATATACATGATATTTTAAGTGCTTGCAAATTCTTTGTTCTAAGTAATAAGCTTATTACTTCAGAAATATCTTGGGGAATGTGCAAAATAAAATTTATAAATAGTCTGGAATGGAAAATGTAGAATTAAATACATGTTAAAAAGTAAAATTAAAGGAACTGTCAATTAAATAAGAATTATAGAAAACATGCCTTTCTTTGTTTTTGAGTTATGATTCATCACGTATGAGTAACTGTTCTATTCGTGGTCCATATATTTTTAATTGTTTTCTTGGCTTATAGTTATTATTTTATCCAGTGAGCTGTCAGTGTAATTGAAACTGGTCTGAGGTATTTTTGTACCTACCTTTTTTTTCCTTTGTGACTTTGTAAACTACATCTGCCTGCTTAATTGAATGTGCTCAGGATTTGTCTAATGTAGAATGAATGTTGATTATAATTCTGAATTTATGAAATGAATCTTTGCAAAATGTGGCAAGCTTTTAGTTAACAGGATATGTCTACGTACACAAAAAATTGGATATATTGCCAAGGTTTTTCGTACTAAAGTTTTGTCTGAGAAATCTTGAAGTCAGTCTGATTGAGACTCTGAAAAATTTGAGTCCAAGTGATGTTCTTGTAAAAAATAGAAATACTTTTGTCCATTGTACAGTTTGCAAATTGCTTATGCATAACCGCTACAACCTCTTAAATGCTTGTCAAAAGTTTTTCTCAGTATCTCTGTATATTGTATCTAATATTTTCTCTACTCTCACATGAACTGCCCTCCAGCTGCTCAATGGTAAATCTGAAGGTTTATTACACTAAAAACCAGGTTTCGATACCCGTAGTGGGCATAGCATGGAGAGCCCATTGTGAAACTTTATGCTTTACAACAAATAGTCAATTGTCATGAATTGTTTCAAAATCAGCAATGTAGGGAAACATGAAGTGTTTGACTGACATCAAATACTTAATACCATGTTGAATGGCACTCTGTACAAGGTTGTGGAATGTACACTTTGATCCCCACAATGCACAGAGGGTTAAAGGAAAGTATAAAGACATCTGCCAATGAAGATTCAAGGTATTTTGGCTTTGGTAAAGAGACTAGCTGTTGAATACATTACATTCCATGGGATTCTGAAAAAAATAAAGAAATGTTATTCTTTGACATTTTTTAAGAATATGAAATGTGTATAGGCCTGCATGTAAAACAGTCTGATCATTTAAGCTTTCTTATTGTTTATCAACATGTGTATTGCATCAAATTGCTTCTAGGCAATGTGATGTTGTGTGTAGCTGACCTATTTATGAGCCTTGCATTAGTAAAAAGTGACTAAGGCATGCAACTTTAGAATTGAGCTGTACATAATGGAACACTTGCAATTAAAGACACTGCATCAACTTGTACCCAATTGGTCGTGTACCACATGTCATCATGCCGAACACACTAATTTTTACACATGCTGCAAATCTTTGAATAATTACATAACTAATGGTGGCATGTTAGTTTCTCATCTGTTGAAATACTTTCCAAGCTAAATTGTTTACTTCACAAAATAAAATATTTAAATGAAAAAAATGAGAACTTTTCAGGAATCATAACATCATAAGTATATATAAAGGTGCTTGTTTCTTGTATATTTAAAAACTTATGAGACAAAATGCATTATAGGATACAACAGTATTATTTATACAACCATTATTAACCTTGAAATTTCAAATAAGGCAGGATTTTAATATATGTGGGTTTATAGAAAAATGCACATGGAGGAAAATTTTTTTATCTGTTGTCTAAAAAGTTGTTGCATACCTTGCTAAAATGTTATGGTACAACAATGTGGTGAACATTGTTAGAATACACATGTATATGTTAGGTTTTCCTTATTGTAATAATATATATGAGCTTTCATCTTTATTCCCGACCTCCTTTTTCAGTTCTCTTACTTTTGTGTAATAACTTGGTTGAAATGCAGTTTATATATCTTTTTTGCTATCAATTATTCCTGTTTTGTAACTATTTCATTTTAATTATTTATATGTTTTTAATAAATTTGAGAGTTGCCTCTCAATACCAAATCCTGATGCATAACAACTTGTAAAATAGATCAGAGTTTATTGCTAAGTGCTTCATATAAGTAGTTTTTCATTTCATCAGTTAGATAGCTCTTGTTTTATATTAAAAAAGTAAAACTTTTCATTTTGTATTTAACCATTACTTACCATCACAAAATATTTAGCATGTATGCAATTTCTCTTCTCCAAGTCAATATAGGATTATTTTTATAAGGAGATTTCACATTGAATTTAATGTTGTATGGTTTTTTAGAGTTTTCTTCAATAAAATAAATCAATTAAATATAAGGTATTTCAGATTTGTTAATTTTTCCTTATTCCTGGGAATGCAAAATGTCTGATCAGGAAAGGGTTAATGTTGGCTATAACTAAAGTGAAATTTATAATGTATATTCATTGTAATAGTCTGTGAAATTGTGATATTAAAACTTTTCCAGCTACTTAAGGAACAAAGAGATGAAGAATGGAACATCGGTAACATTATCCATACTCTAACAAACAGGCGTTGGATGGAAAAAACTGTGGCTTATTGTGAATCTCATGATCAGGTATTAATTGATTTATTTCAGTTTTAAATTGTTTTCACTGTTGGCATAACATCCAGCATTAAAAGGTTTTATAGAAGATGTGTAGATACACTGCTACAGAAATAAAATAATAGCAATAGTATGTTTAAGGGTGAAATTGCAGAAACAAAACTGAGTGAAATAAATATAACCCTGTTATGGAGTTTATGATAAAGTTTTATCATAAAAAAAAAAAAATGTTTAAGTTACTGCAGTCAGCATGTCTTAGCATAATCTTTACTACATAACTTTTTGTGTATGTACTTAGTTTAGAATAAAATTTCTAACAAATAGATTACAAAGCATTGTAAGAGGAATAAGGTATGCAATGTGTTTTAGTAAACTGTAAAACATGTGATAATAAAAATATTTGAACAATAATAATGATATGTTATCAATTAAATGTATTGTTTCCCCAGGCATTGGTAGGTGATAAGACAATTGCTTTCTGGTTGATGGATAAAGAAATGTATGATTTCATGTCAGAGATTACTCCACTAACTCCAATTATTGACAGAGGTTTAGCTTTACACAAGATGATAAGATTAATTACCCATGGTCTAGGGGGTGAGGCCTGGCTGAATTTTATTGGTGAGTTTTATTAATTTATATTGAAGCTTAGATCTCAAACTCAAGGTTATGCATGTTGGATTAGGTAAATGGATAAAACTAATATTGTTTTATATAAGTATTTGTTTGCTCAGGCAAATGCCCAATAAAATCTCTTCATCTGTAATTCTCAAACAAAATGTTTTATGCGATTTATAGAAAATACTTGATTTTTGAGTACTTACAGTAAGGTTGTGTTGATTGGAAACAAGTTGTAATAATTAGTGTTGTGTATGATCACCTAAGTCTCATTACTAATTAGTCACTATTTTTAGTACTAGATAATAATCACTAATTAGTTTATATTCTATGTTTTGTCTTCTAAAAACTGCAGTTTTCAAGGAAGTACTATGTTTTGTTAACTTTTGCATCATTATTGGCCAAGATTCATTCCTGAGTCCTTTTGATAGAGAGGCTGGAATGATATTCACTCATCTGGGGTATCCCCATTAAGACTTGAATCAATTATCTGAATATTTTCAAAAGAGAGATTTATAGGTTTTGCTGACTTCTATGCTAGAAAGAGTGAGTGTGTTAAAAACTAGGTTGATATATAAAGCTTTTTTGAGTCTTTTTTTTTTTCTTTTTCTCATATGTAGTTCACTTCCCATTAGCATTATTCCAACTTATTGTGTGGTTTTTCTTTCTAGCATGTTGGGCTATTGCAGATATCCCATTATTGTGATATGAAGGAATACTATGAATTTTTACCCTCTTATTTTGATGTAGAAATTTTTTAAAGTTTTTCTTTTACACAGAGTTTTTGCATGACATATGGGGCAGAAAGCTAGTAAATTCCTTTTTACTAGCTGCTTTTGTTTCTTTGTTATTCTCTAGAGATAATACCTGTTCTGCTCATGTGGGATATACTGTTATGTTGCATATTGGGCAAGAATGATGACAGCAGTGTCCTTCACTGGTAGGCCAGATGATATGGTATCTCGAGGTTACAGTCTTTTTCTGTGTTGAATAAGAATGACCCGTCATTTGGGTAGTACTTGTTTGCTATGAGTAAATCCAGTGTTTTTTGGTAAGCAAAATATTAGATTTAAACAGTACTGTGTGGGATCTTAAGTGAGTTGCTTGTTGGGAAGATATCTTAAGAGAAGAGGCCAGTTGATGAATTCATGAGCCCAGTGGTAGGTGACTATCCAGTACCTAAAGTAATTAAGCACACTGTTTTTTTTGTTTCAGTTAGAACTAAAAAATATTTTAATTTCATGTCCAGTCTGTTTAGGTAAACTCAGTATTACTTTGTGATTTATCCTCCTGTTCCTCTCATTATAAAGAGGACCTACCTAATACTTTTTGCAGAAGTCACTTTTATCTGAGAATGCTTCATTACTTAATGTAGCTAGAAATTAAAGCATGTAGATTGTTACATCAGTGTAATACTGTCATGGAACATGCCATTAAAAGATGGTTAAAGATTTTATGTTGGGGTTTCTACACTGTTTGGTAAATCCATTCCTTCATGAGATGAGACATTAATCTAGAAAAGTAGGAACCTCAAAATGATCAGAAAGATTTCATCTTTATCCTCTGCTAGATACCTAATAATAAAGTGGCATAATAACATTGAATAATTTCAATGCATGCGGACAGTGAAGGTATTGCATAATGTTTTTATTTTCTGAACATTTGATGTTTATAACCATTTGTAAAAAGGAGCAACTTACTTTGATTAGAAAAGTTAATTTAAGTGTTGTTTTTTTCTAAGTTTGTACTAATTTTAAATTGGTAATTCTCTAATATTCTTTAGATATAATAATAAATATCTAAAAATTAAGAAAGTAAAAATAAATTTCACTGGAGGTTTTTAACACTCCAAAAAATGTCAAATTGTCTTCCAGTTTTCTAGAAATTGTATGTCAAGAAAATATATGTAAGAAATCTTATGTTGGTTGTTTTGCCAGAATGTCAAGCAGGAAATTATAAAAAATACTGCCTGAATAAGGAAGCTGTCATGTCATCCAGTTAGAAATTTGCATTCTTAAAAAATGTACTATGTATAATGAAGATACTTGATTAATTTACATGTAGAAGTTAGCTAGAAGTTCTCAGATGGCTGCTTTTGGTAATCAAGATACCCTAAAATTGAATATTAGAATTCAGTCAACACATCTTAAATAGTAGTTAAAGTAGATAAATTGTAAAGAAGATTTCTGTTGTTAAGAATGAAACCAAACAGTTGGTAGGGCTTGTGCTTAACTTAAAAGATCAAAAGTTGTAAGAGTTTTATTTCTTTATAAACAGGTTATGAAGATTAAGAATTTAGTCTGTAGAAGAAGGTGGTTCAATGAACTATATGTATAATGAGATTTCAGTTAGCTGCTATTTCACAAAATATGGTAATTATATCTGATATTTTTGTTTGTAGGAAATAGCTATTATTTAAAGCAATATGGTAAATGTGTGGTGTTTTTGCATAGGAAATGAGTTTGGTCATCCTGAATGGTTGGACTTCCCACGTATTGGGAACAATGAGAGTTACTATTATGCCAGACGCCAGTTTAATTTAGTTGATGATCAACTGTTGAGATACAAGTATTTGGCAAGGTTTGACAGTGCTTTGAATCACTTGGAGGAAAAATATGGTTGGCTGGCTGCTCCTCAGGTTAGTTGTATAAACATTCATATCCATGTAGTTAGTATTGGACTCACACCTTTGTACTTTTTGATATTAACTTGCAGATGGAGAAGTATAATTATCTGAATAAAAGGTTTAATATTGTAATGAGACATAAGTGATTAAAAACAGTAATTATCATTAACTTCTGATTAAAGCAAGTATCCTACATAGATCAGAAAAGAGAGCTTGGACAAAATTATATTTTCTTTATAATTAATGTCCAGATTTATAAAATCTCTTGTATTAGTTAAACTCTCATTATGAACTTTTGTATTTCATTAAAGTTCCTTGAAATTTATTTAATTATGGTGTGTTTTAGAAATTAAAATAGATTTTCTTAGAGGTTTGTCAAATATCTATATTAAGTTTGATACTTAAATACTGTTTCTAATTTATTTTCACCTATGTTTTCTTAAACATGGCTTAGAGAAGATTTAATAGAATATTGTTATTATGTAACTTGCTGTTACTTAATCTCAGATTTTCTCCTTTCTTAGTCAAATTCAGTGATTAATGACATAAATTTTAATATTTTCTCCAAAACTCATTTGGGTTATGTTTGTAATTCATTTCTTCTTTTTATACAAATCTCTCCCCCATTGGTACAGTGGTAAGTCTGAAGACTGATATTGCTAAAAATTGAGTTTCAATACCAGTTGTGATAGCCAATTGTGTAGCTTTGTGCTTAACAAACAAACAAATTTATGTATGTAAATTTAAAGGTTATTGACAAAAAGGACAAATTATGATAATAGCAATAGCACTTTCTTGTTGTTGCTCAGGGCTATCACCTATCCATTGAATAGTTATTCTTTAAGAATTAGGTTTCATTCTTTGTATAAGCTTGTAGTCTACTTCAGTAAGTAGCAAAATGTGTGACAGAGTTGTTTTCAATCTTATATTAGGATCCGTTCTATGTAGATTGGGAGGAGAAATTTAGGAATATATATATATATATATATATTTTGTATCTTTTCAAAACAATACGAATACAAGATGGAGACAGGTACCTTTAAGTTATGTAAAATTGATTCCATGGTAGATAATGTTTGGAGAGGGAGTTAAAGTGGATCCCTTGAGTGTGAGTTGCAATGTTGAGCAGTTTGTGATATTTACAGTATTGGAGATAATTACTGAAATATGCTGGTGATACACATACAGAAGTAACAGACAATGAGTAATTGCAACTAAATAACCAATCTAAAATCAGTACAATAAACTATTACATAAAATACTAAAAGTGAATAAGTTGTATAATGCACTTGTATTTTGTATCAACGTATGATTATGAAATATTATTTAAATTATTCTGTACTTCTCTCCATAATTCAGTTTCTCAATTTCTATGTAACCATATTGCCACGGGTATCCTTTACTGTGCATGACACAAGGTTTTAGTGTCTTACATAGAAAATTTTATGAAACTATTTTTTGTTTGTTATACTAATTAGAATAGTATAAAATCTTAGCTAATAATCTATATTTTAATAGTATATAGATTTTAAGTTTTTAATTCTACAAGGAAATAATTAAAAAAATCCTGAATTTCCCATGGTGTGACCCTTTTTCTTTAGGCATCTTGTCTCCTATATTTTATCCACCACCCCTTGAAAAAGTATAAAATTAAATGTAAATTACTCATTATAAAATTGTTATTGCTCTGTCAAACCATATTTTTTATAGTCTTCAATTTTGTTTGGTTACAGAGCTATCGAATAGAAAATCAAACTCCTCCTGTCACATCCTCTCTCTTTCAGGATTTGTTAATAGTTCTCTCTTATGTTTAATTATATATTACTTATAACCAATAGAAAGTCAAGGTTTCCATCTATCAAATGATGTATTTTATAAGTTTATGTTCTGAACGGTTAAATGTTAGTTTCACTCAGAGTACCAACATCATTCCCATGAGAAAGTTAACGACTAGCTTGGATGAATTTGTAACGACTCTTGTCGCATAGTTAAAAAGCCAGAAACATTTTGAGAGGTAAGGGGATTTGTCTATGTTTTGCATGTTATTAGTCTGTTGTTTGGTGCATTATTTAATTACATTAGAATTATTAAGTGCATTACTATCATTAGTGTATAATAATTAGGGTTAACTCTCTTCAACAATCAACATCAATAAAAAAAAGATGATTGGTTAAGTATTTTATTTCTTTTTTTTCATGTTTATTCCTTATGTATAATTATAAAAGTAATTACAATGTAAAAATGGGGATCCTTTTAGGTTAGTTAAGATTAGATTAGATAAAATAAATAATATTATAATAGAAATGTTTCACAAGGCACACATACACGAGCAGCTCGTAGTAGCTTGTGGGTAATGGAATTCATTAGTGTAATGTGAGCTGCATGTTCCTCGAGTGATTTACAAATTATAATGGCACTGTTAGTAGTTAGACATGATTCAAAGGGCAAAAAAATAATATAATTTAAATGTAAATAAATGTCTACTGTTACAAACTTAGAGCTATTTAGGATAACCGAATATAGTTTCATGTCACAATTTGAAGTCATTCTAGAAAGAAAAAGGGGTAATTTAGATTTTGGTGGTTATGAGGTTGGTTTTGAGATAGTGTAGAGAAAATAACAGATATACTATAAAGTTTTACTGAAAAATACGTTTGAAATGCATTTAGGAGGTTTTAAGGATTACACAAAGGAAATTTGAGATTTTTGAAATGAGGAAAAAATATTTTTAATTTTAACATGAAAATTACTTTGCATACAGGCTATTCTAAATAAATACTCAATATGTTCTTGGAGAAATTTTTATTTTATTAAAAATACTTCATTTACCAAAAGACTGCCAAATTTTGTGAAGATATACACACTATATTGAAAGTTAGAAGTATTAAATCTGTAAAGACTAAATGAGTACAAAGAGGTTATGTAGTTGGCCCGTGTTGAGAGAAAGAATCTTGCGCAGCTTTAATAATATTCATATCACACTATTAGTAGGCAACACTATTGTTTGCGAGTGTTTAAACAACCTGTTATTTTCCATCTAGGTGTCTTTTCATGTTTGGGATTATTCCCTTGCTGGAAGATGAATCCCTGTCCAACTGGTCTTGTACTCTTTAGTAGTCAGGGTGTCATCCATTTTATCTAGATCTCAACCAAATGAGCTGCACCTCGAAAGCTAAATGTTGTATGTGAAACATGATACCATTATTCTCCCTGCCACTGAACAAACTGTCGGTCATTGCTACGTAAGTTGAATTTGGGTTCATCTGAAAAGAGCACCCATCTTCAGCTTCGCTCATCCCGTTGTTTGAAATCTGTTGCCCATTTCAGCCATTTGTTTTGGTTATCTATTAAGCCACTTTGTGCTAATATTCTGGAAGCAATATACACGTCTGTACTTACAGTTATGTTATGGCAAGATCTTTTCTGGATTGGTGTGTATCACGTAAAAATCATTACTCTGAGTTACTTAAGATCAAACATCACTTTTAAAAAGTTTGGGTTTCTAGCTTCATCATATCTTTCATGTACACTTTTCAGAGTTTTCGTACAACTCCTATTGAAACATGAAATTTTGCCTTAAACTGTTGCATGGTGCAGCCTTCACCAGCCAAACACTTTGATATCTACACACTTGTCATGTAGCATATTTGTCCTGGTAATTGTGAGTGAATTTACCACACCATTAGTTGTGGGAGTAGTTTGGTTGTATGTACCTTTATAGATACGCTGGTGTAGCATTGTCTGTTTAGAATAACAGCCAATCACAGTATTAACTATTAGCATGTGATTGCACTCATATGCAGTTCATTTTCATACAATACAGGAATAGTTATATTGTAATATTTGCATTTTATACCCATTTTATTCACAATTTCCATAATTATCTTCAACACTATACACCTATCTTGTAAAATTGCATCACTATAAAATCCCTGTTTTGTTTTACCTATGTTTAAATGTTTTGAATACATTATTAGTTCATTGATATGATTTTTTCCCCACACAGGGCTATGTGAGCTGGAAGCATCAGGATGATAAAGTTGTAGTATTTGAAAGAGCTGGTCTTGTCTTTATTTTGAACTTTCATCCAGTCCAAAGTTTCCCGGATTATAAGATTGGAGTAGAAATCCCAGGAAAGTATCCTTTAAAGTATTTTTTTTAATAGAAAATATTTGTGCATGGTAGTAGTAAGTTTCCTACATATCTTATGTAAAGGGTTGGCTTAAATTCTGCAGGAGTCATGTCTAGCCACTACTGCTCATAATGATAAGCAGGTTTGCAAGGGTTAGTCCTAGTGGTGAACCCATTAACCCTATCACCACGAGCGTACTATTGTGCACATGTCATGAGGTTTTAGTGAATTACATTCAATATTTAATCAAACTACCTTCATATCATGGTATACCAATAAGTATAGCATAAAAACGTAGCCACTTGTTTATATTTTAATAGTTTATAAGTGTTAAGTTTTTAATTCTATAAAGCAATATTAAAAAAATCCTGTATTTTCTCTCTAGGCATCCTCTCTTCTCTGATTTATTTACACCCCTTCAAGAAGTACAAAATTTAATGTAAATTACTCATTATAATATTGTCATCACTCAGGCAAAGCATCATTTTTATAGGCTTCAATCTTATTTCGTTACAGACCCATCAAACAGAAAATGAGAACCCCTCCCTTGTCATGCCCACCTATCACCTAATGTAGTTATGTAGTTATCTTTAAGATTTCACATTTTTTAGTCTTTTTTAATATTTTGAATTTTGTGCCTTTTCCCAATATTGATTGTAATTCTTGTTTTTATTAACATCCAAATTACCTGTTACTATATGATTGTGAAAATGGTACTTAAAGTCATTATTGTTACAGTAACAAGGCAATTTATCAACTTCTGTTGGATTAAATTCTTCAATGAATTTTTAGAGTTGAAGATAAGAGGTCCTATAGATTTATTATATTTAAAACTAACTATAGGTTGAATTGATTTAATGGGGAAAATATTTTCTTGAAAACTTATGGATTGGGAAAGGTAGTGCTAAATCATCACATAATTTCTGTTTAAAATATATAACTATAAATGATTTTTTCTCTATTTTTGTTAATAGGTTCCTGAATTATTAGTGTTGATAAAGTTATTTACTTATTAAAAAAATTAATTTATTTCTAAAGTTATATTGTTTGAAATTAATTTCTGTTTTTTTAAATGATGTCCAATTCACTATTAATCATCAAACATAGTATTGGGTTTTAAAATTCCTTGGCACTTGTGTAATGTTCAATATTAAAAAACTCAATTTTTCAAAACAGTGATTATTTCTTACACAATTCCTGAGGATAATGCAGTGATATACTTTGAAATATGTAGAGTGTGTGAGACTGTTTTCCAGTCTCATCGGGTTTTTTACTATTTTTTTATCCTGTACAGTAAGCTATTTATATTTTGTAATTTTGAGACTAGAAACAGTCTCATTTTTAGAATTGTATAAAAAAATAATTGTTGTTTTTAAAAAATTGAGTTTTTTTAGTATAGTAATGTGTGTATTTTTTTTCAAACTTTACATGCTTGAATTTTCACAAACATAGAGAAAAAGAGAACAAAAACTTCAGTCTTCCATATTGAATATTACTGTTAAAGCATGATTAATTTATTATCTCAGGTTTAACAATTGGTTAAGTACTTATTGTTTCAGTAAATAAAAAATATAATGTTTATATATGTTCAAAAATGTGTGATAGAGAATACATGTTTGAATCATCACAAATGATAATGAATTTTCCTATTTGTTTAGGCTTATTTAGTTGGGAATATGTTATAGAAGCTCCAGTTTCTATCCAACATACGTCAATGAACTTGGCATCAGAACATCATTTATAATTTAATATTATATACATTTTAATATTTGTATTTCAAAAGAAGTATTAAAAAATTCTCAATCTTTTCTTCTCTGTTATGTGACATTCTCCAAATTGCCCATTTTTATATTTTCTTTCTCTTTCCATGATTTATAGTGTCTAACTAATTGAAAATGCACTATAAATACTGACAAGCTAAGATATAAAGTTAGAACCTTCAATTTTCTTGCTTTACTGAGATATAAAAAATCTCAAATCAACATGACATGCCCATTTCATGTCATTGTCTTTCAAAAAAAATGTCACAAATTCTCCCTGACATTGGATTATTTATAGCCATTAAAGAGAGCAACTTTTCCTTTACAAGATTCCTTATATTGGTATTTCCTTCTGCTACCTTTAAGTAGATACTTAATCTCAGTTTCATTGTTTTCAATCACATTTTTCTGCTTTGAGCATCTAACAGATTTTTATTAAACCATTTATAGCTTAGTTAGAAAACCAGTTAAATTATAGTAGTTTTTGGAACTTTCTATTCTAGTGCTTGACATATGTTTTATGTTTTAAAATACATTCTTGAAAAGAACATAAATAATTTTGTGGAGAACCAACATAGTATGAAAAAGCAATTGGTATGAAAGTATACCCTTGAGTACAAATTATTTAAATGATCTTCAACTCTAATGTGAATACAAAATTCTGTTTTTGTGTATTTTTTATTTATTTATTGCTATAGACATTAAGAAGAGTAACTAAAATGTAAAAATTAGACATTTGAGTGGTAAAATAACAAAAAGAAAAGAAATTGAAAGACTAGTTCAAGCTAACTGCATCATATGATTGTAATTTCACTGGTGAAAAGGTTAGATAGCTGAGGCTGTTAAGCTGAATACCGTATTGGCCTGATTATAAGGTGTGTTTTTTTTTAATAATAATTAGGCTGTAAAATTCATAGTTGCCTTATAATCGCAGCTGATCACAGGCACCTACTCTAACCTGTCACATTCCTGAATGTCCAGATAGCATCTGTTTTTGCATGTGTGCCAGATGTTTCTGAAAATGGGAGTCACCTTATATTCAAGATCCCCCTATAATTGGGCCAATATGGTAATTGTAAATGTCTGTCACAATCTGCAGTCATTTTATATAGAAAAGGTATTATTGATTTTATTTCATATTTTTCAATATTTCATTTCAATTTATGTTGATGAATTTGCCATAGTTAGTGTTAAAGTAGAGAAAATAAGGAATAAAGTTTTACAGAAAATAATTATCTATTCATGAGGTTCTATAGGTTATGAAAATCAAATGTAAAAACTTAGTATTTTTATTCCTATTATGAAAATCACCTTTCACTTGGACTGACTCAGTAAAGTCTTTGTAATTTCACAGACAAATACATGTTTTATCAAAAAATTAGTTTATTGTATATGATAGATGTATATAATATATATTAAATGTTGGCCAAATTTCAAGAAGGTATATTCAGTAAATTTAGAATTATAGTAAACATTACTTAGTACAGCTTTGCAGAAACTGGATTGGTCAGATGGATCAACACTGTGGACTGAAGGTTAATAAGAGATTAATCTGTCTAAGCATCTTTAGGAATACAATTTTCTGTATTGAAAATCCCTTTTTTTATTTTAGCCATACACTTGTACTTTTCATTATTGAAATATTGATGAAAAAAACTATAGTTTCCTGTTCCGTAAAACACACATATACGTCAATGAAATATGCTTGCTACAAAATATTGAGATTATTGAAATGGACCTTCATTTTTGGATAAAAACCAAATCTGAGTTCATTATACAAGATGATGGAGAATTTTCTTAGGCTTATCATCAAATTATACTTCACAGTTGATAAGATATTTAGTTATATATTATAATGCCTGTTTCATTTTGTAGGTTAAAAGTCAGATAATATCTCAGCCTTAGATAGTTGAAATAGCCAAACTTTGCTGAAGCTCTAATAATTTGAATTTGGTTTGGCCTACACTAAGTATTCTCAAATGATAATAAGAAATGGAAAAAATAAATCATTTCCAAAATAAGCTGGCTAGATTAAGAAATTTGATTAAGTAATGTGAAACAATTATTTCAAATTTTTACATTTGCTAAGCATAGTTTTTACAAGTAGCAAATGACAGCAATAAAGAAGTCTAGAGTGGCTGTTAACAAAGCTTTGAAAGGTGAATTTGAAGAATTGTTACTTTGGTTATATGTTTTGTGTAATGCATGTTACATTTTCTTATTCATTATGCAGCATCTAGTTTTGATAGCTTAAAGATGAACTTTATTTTAATCTTAAATAAAATAGTAGTATGATAATTCTATACTTTACAATTCTCTCCACACAGTGTGGAAAAAAATTTTTTCTTCTTTGCCATCATAAAAGATTACACATGGCTCCAAATTACCAGAACATAATTTTTCAAACCTATATTCATTTTATTTCCTTGAAACAACTAATGATATTTTGGAAACATAATAACGTACTTTACAGACTAGTTAAACCATGAAAAACAAATACCTCTGATATATAAATTGCTTGTGAATAAGAAATCTCATCCTGAATAATATAAAATGCTTCGATTCCAACTTGTATGTGTTTTAACAGCTGATAGGTGCAGGATGGGTTTAATTTTTTATGCTGTTACCAGTTAACATGTTTCTTTTCTCTATTTTAAGTCTAAAACATCAATATGATTAACAATGTCAGTTTTTAACTATTAATACTGGCATCTATTTTCCCTTATTATTCTACATTGAATGGTTTTTTTTCCATTATATTAAATTGAGAAAAAGGAAATCAGTTGAACCTAGTATTTCAGGGGATAATGTGACTAGAATTTTGTTTCCTGAAATGAGTTAGTCCTCTAATGCATGAAGTTAAAATGATTAACTTTAAAAGCACAATGTGAATTCAAATTTTGTGAAATTTGCTTTTATAGAGCAGGACCATGCTGATAACAATGCAAACAAAAAATGGACATATTTTTCAATTAAAAAACATTCATCATTCAGGGGTAAGTGATGTAACAAATTTTTTGATAACTGTTGAAATATGGATGCCTGGAGTTTATAGGATGAAAGACAACACTAAGAAAATTTTGTATATTATTTTTAAGAGAAGTAGTATCAAAAAGAAGAAATAAGGGAAAAATGATTCCTAATAATTTATGGAATCTTAAGTACTGATGTGTAACTCTTCATTGTGATCTGAAAATTAATGAAGTAGAAAAAGCTTAATATCTGATAATTATTTAGTGTAATTAGACTGAACAGAGTAATTATGCTTACTTACAGAATATTTAGTGTGTGATATCAGCATTTACTGCAGTGACTAAGTAATGTTTTATCAAATATTAAGATGAAATTTAAGTGGTTATGTATTTAAGTAATTGAATGTCAAAATTAAAAAAGTGATTTTCAATAATTCACAGTTAAAACGAAATTTGTCTTTAATATAATAAAAGATATAAAATAGCTTTGGATTCTGATTCTGAAGAGTTTGGTGGCCACAGAAGACTTGATCACAATGTTGACTTCTTCTCCTTCCCAGAAGGGTATGCTGGGAGACAGAATTCCATGATGGTAGGTTTTTACAAAACTTTATTGTTGAAACAATCTTTCTAGAACTTTGTACTTTAGCTCTGTTTTTCTCTTAATATTAGGGTTTTTATGTTGCTTGTGGAATGAACCTCTAAGTTGAAAAAAACTCTAAACAATCATAAGGACATTGTAAATCTCAGTTTGTGTTACAAATACACTTATCTTGATAATTGTTACAATAATGGTAGAAATCTCAAAATCTAGATAATGGGCATGGTGAAGTCTGTCCTTGTTTATTTTATGTGGCAAAGTTATGCAATTTTTGACACCTTCTGAAAGTTTTATGTACTCATTTGAATTATACAATTTAAGCAACTTATCTAAATTATCTTAACACTGAAGCTTTTGTAAGTTGTTGCAAATAATTTTACCGCTAAGTAAGGTTTATCAAGATGAAAGCTGACTTGTGCAAGGAATTTTTTTGTGAGCTGGAACTTCATTAATATCTTAATTATCCATTTAAAAGCATATTTTGAAATATGTATATAAGAAAATAACTTAATCGGGCTCAGTTCACCATTTTAAGAGTTTTGTGTGTTATAATTTTGTTTTGAATTCTGAATCAGTATCAAGTACTGGAGTTGATTTCAGAAATATACTGCACACAGTTTTTGTGTGCTTAGCACATTCATACCACCTCCCCCTCATCCATACTAAATAGGATCCAACTCAAAATTAAAGTTACTATGAAGCATATCAAAATGAAAGTGACTAACTTCAACCTACAAGCACCTTCCCTATTGTATGGATGAAATATGTGTGGTTCTGGTAAAACATATGTGCAAATGGATATGAACCACTATGTTTCACATATCATATACACACATATATAGCTGATACTCAGATTTTCTTATGCTTATGTCTTCTCCGTGAAAGAAATATTAGCTGGTGTAATTCTTAATCACATAAAGAAACTTGAAGTATAGCTTCATGTGTACTACACCTTGTGGTTGTGTTGACTTAAAATTTTGATACTGAGACAATTATTTCATTCGTATTTAGAATGTTTTCTGTCATTTACACACTGAAAGTAGTGGAAGGTCATTGCTTTTCCAGATTCATTGGTTTCTATTGATTCAGAAGAAAAAGTTTTCTTAATTCTTAGAATTATGTTCCTTTTGTACCTGAACCATTTGATAACATTTTATTCTGGTAAGCATCTAGTAATTTAGTTATATATATATTTTTTATCTCTGTTTCTCTCATCTCACGCTGTGTGAGCAGTTTCTTGGAGAATCTTGGCAGACAGAAATTTATTTGTTTTAAGTTGTGATTTATGTGAAATTACTAATCACAAATTGTAATTTTCTTTTTTTAATTTTCATTAAAAATTCATAATTGAGTTGAAAGTATGTTACAAAGGCTATATTGTGACAACTGTTACAATTCAGTGGTCTACAGGTTGTTTACCTTTTTTTGTTTTTAACACATAACTTGTTCTTTTAAGTTTCTCTACACACATACAAATAGCTGTAAATAACAATTCTACTATTATCCTGGGTTTTCAAAGACAACACGCTTTTTATCTGTTACATCTAACAGTGAGATTTTTATCTAAGCATCACATCTCATATCTCTCGCTCACACACACACAAACAAATTGTGAAATATGGAATAGAAGCTGAGGTACCCGTTCTTTGTCCGGGTTATGAACTTAAGAAAATGTGGGGGTTGATGCTATGATAAACAACACAAAATTCTTAACTTTCACATAATTTATTTATAGCTTTACATATTACATGTTCATTATTACATCACCCAAAGTTTTGTATAAGCTTTAAGAACTCAATATGTATATACTTAAAAAACAACAACATGGTATACACTGTGTGATAGTCAGTGTGAATTTATAGGAAGAGGTAGCAGCCAAAATAGTGGCAGTAGGGGTACTTTCTGCTACCTCTTAATGTCCTTCCACAGTGTTTCACATTATTAATTAATTGACGGTCATTGGCTGCAGAAGTGTCATATGGGCTGAAGTTATAAGATCATTGGTCAAAGTAGAAAGTGGGTATAACTCAAATTATTACAATAGTGGTGGCCATTTTTTTCATTGCATTTCATTGCTAGCACATTCTGAGATATATAAGATGTTTGTGTGCCTTCCACCACATTATGTATGTTGTTATAGAAAATTTAATAAAGTTTTGTGTGTTTGTAAGGATGTAGCACAATATATGAATGTAGTTAACGTTAACTCATGTCAAAGATAATAAATGTTCAATAACAGTAATAATGGGTGGTGGAGGGAGTTGTGAGCCCCCAGTAACAAGCCCCTTGTTCCAAATTATCATCCCACAAAGTTTGATTGAGATTGACACAGTGACCTAAGAGTAGTTAATAACAGACACACACAAATTTTTGTACTTTATATATACACACACACACAGTACTGTGCAAAAGCATTAGGAAAAGGGAATATTTTGTCATTCTTTCCATTTTATGGGGCTAATTCTTCTATGCCATTAGAGAATGTAAATTTCAACACTATGGTAATGCTTCACTGATCCCTGTTGACAACTGAATGAACCAGAGTGACAATACTTATGATTCTGTAGAATTCCCATATACTTGTACCAAGGACATGTCATAAGGGTCCTGCTTGAATGAACATACTAATCAAATTTAAGGTCTGAAATAATTGTCATGGTACCCCATACAGTGTCTTAACTATATATAAAGAGGCTAGCATATGATACTGGTATATGCTAGAAGAGATCAACTTAATAGCACTCTACAAATATACCTTGATAAAAAACAGTGTTTAACACTATATATTAAGTTTTATTGTCATACCACAGCCCAGAAAGCATAGAGAATTGCCAGTATAGCAGATAGTTTGTATAAAAGCTTTATATGATGCTGGTTGGACTCTCCGACAAATTGCTGCAGACTTGAAATGCTCCCCAAACACTGTCAAGTATACCCTAGATTGTGAGACCGAGACAGATAAATTTGAAAATAGGAAAGGAAGAGGCAGAACACCTAAATTCAATGATACTGATGTTAAGAAGACTGCCATTGATCTCAAGGATGAGACAAACAACCATGTACGAAATGACAGAAAAGTGTCCAGATCAACAGTATCAAGAAGATTTGACAAGAATGGAATATTTGGTCCTGTAGCAGTTAAAAAAAACCTTTACTTCAATCTCCAAATCTTGTCAAGAGACTGAAATTTGCTAAAAAGTACAAAAACTGGACTGTTGATGATTAGAAAAGGGTGTTATGGATGGATGAGTCCAAGTTTGAATTATTTGGTTCAAAGCATAGGTTGTACGTCTGGCAGAAGAAAGGTGAAAGATACTTACTTCAATGCATAACACGTACCATGAAGTATGGGGGAGGTAGTGTTAAGGTTTGGGGATGTTTTTCTGCTGAGGCAACAGGAGATATTTGCAAAATAGATGGAATAATGGACCAGTGCAAGTACCATCAGATACTGATCCTTCATGGTATACCCAGTGGTTTGCATATTATTGGTAAAGGATTCTACTACCAAGAAGATAATGACCCCAAACACTCATCCAACCTATGCAGAAATTACTTAGCTAAGAAAGAAGCTGTTGGAGTCATTTAAGTGATGCAATGGCCCTCACAAAGCCCCAATCTCAACCCAATTGAGCAGATCTGGGATTTGATAGATCAGAAACTTGACAAATCAAATGGCAAAATCTTATTTAGACATGGTTTGAGTTTGCTGAAATTTGTGATCTTGTTTTTTCTCGACTCTGAAGTTTCAGTTTGATTAAGTTTGACATGCTCAATATGATTTCACTAATCAAAATGAACTCTGTCTCTACTAATGTGAATGAAGAGATTGCTTACACAGAATAATTTACTGTCATTTTTGCTGAAGCTTTTTTTATATGTGGAAGATGTGATAGCCAGGACCCTCTACTGTCTTCCATTCCACTCCTTTCCTTTGCAGTTTTCTCAGGCCTTACATTGAAGAGGACAATTTTTGCACTTTTCCCACCCAGTACGCTAAGAATACTTCTCTACCTAATGAAAATATTTTTACTTTTCCTGCTCCACTTATGTAAACATTTTACCCATGGTTTTCTTCCTTCTCCCTGACCAGTTATTTCCATACATGGCATTTCTATTAAACCAACTTTCCTCCCACTGTTTTATGCCTCATCTTCCCTGCCTTACTAAGTAACATGTAGAAGTTACTGTTTACATAATTTATTTCTCCCTTACACGTAACTCCTAGGAGTTAATGTTTAGACATTGTTTATTACTCCTTAACATGTCCACACAGAATATAATGTTTAGTCATAGTTACTCCTTAACATATACCACATAGTATATTATGTTTAGTTCCAGTTCATTGCTCTTTAACATGTACACGTAAAGTTGATGTTGGGTCATATTTAAATATATACTCCTTACCATGTAAACATAGATGCTGATGTTTAGTTACAGTTAGTTGCTCTTTAACATGTAACACATAGATGTTAATATTTTGTTCTGGTTTATTACTCCTTAACATGTCCATTTAGAAGGTCACATTTAGATCTAGTTTATTACTTCTTTATATGTACAAATGGAAGAAAATGCTTAGCTTTAGTTAATTATTCTTTTCCATTTTCACATAGATGTTAATGTTTAGTTCTAGTTCTTACTCCTTAACATTTTCATATAGAATATAATGTTTTGATGTAGTTCATTATTCCTTAACATATAACTCTTAGAATATGTTGTTTAGTCATAATTACTTACTCCTTTATCATAGTAATGCTTTATCATAGTTCATTACTCCTTAACATGTACACACAGTATATAATGCTTCAATGTAGATCCCTCCTCTTTAACATGTACATTTATGTTCATGTGTAGTTCTGTTTCATTACTCCTTACCATGTATACATAGGAGATATTTCAATATTGTTTATTATTCCTAAACTTGTGACACTTTGACGATGATGTATAGACTTAACATGTTCACATAAAGATTAATGTTTTGTCATAGTTCCTTGCTCCTTAACACATATGCATGAAAGATAATGTTCATTTATATTTATTTACTTCTTAATATATCCACATGGCAGATAATATTTAGATCTCATTCACATGTAACACACTGACGATAATGTTTTGTCTTAGTTCACTGCTACTTAACATGTCCACATAGACTGTAATGATTAGATCTGGTTAATTACTCCTTCATGTACTATTAAAAGATATGGTTTAGACATAACCAACTACTCCATAATATGTCACACATCATAAATAATGTTTAGTTGTGGTTAATTACTCCTTTATGTACTATTAAAAGATATGGTTTAGACATAACCAACTACTCCATAATATGTCACACATCATAAATAATGTTTAGTTGTGGTTAATTACTCCTTTATGTACTATTAAGAGATAAGAATTAGACATAATCAATTAATCCATAATATGTCATTTCCCTCTTTTCCATTACTGTTATCCTTCTGCCACTTCAGTGAGCCAATGTACAGGGTGTACTTATCACCTTTTTTTTACTGTTATCATTTTCCTTTTGACTTCGTTACATTGTAACATATTTCTTCTCTTTCATAGGACTATTTTAGTGAACTGTATGTCTCTTCTATCTTGGGTTTTTGGGCAGCATTTCCACCACCTTCCACTTTTCTCAATGTTACAGGATAATTTCATCTCTGGCTTTTTTCTACCCACTTTCATTCTATCCCTATTCACTGATCCTTCAGTTTCCATAACAACCCACTTTTTTTTTCTTTTTACAAATTTTACATAGGAAAGACAGTCTGCTTTTGTTATGTTTCTTAGAGTAAAGATTATTGTTGATGTATAACATTTCCTCAGCAATATTTTAATGTTTATAAACTGAAAGTTTTTATGCTTTTGTAAATTAGTAATGTGGATTATTATATAGTTGTTTTTTTGAGGTAATTTTTTTATGGTTCATTTTACGAAGTAATGATGTGAAAAATGTTTTAAATTTGTAACTTTCCTGTTACATTGAAGACAATTAAACATCTATATTATTAAGGTTTATTTACTCCTAATTGAAAAGTATAAAGGCTATATTTAATTTTTAGTGTGAAACTTGAAAGGAATTGTGAGTATTTGTCTGTATTTCTTTTCAGGTATATATTCCAAGTCGAGTGGGGATTGTCTTTGCTTTAGCTGACTGATGAACAGTACAGATCCTGATACTTTTTGTTAGATCCATCTCTAAACTTTAATGTATAGAAAACAAGTAGCTGAAGCTGATTTCCATTGAATTTACTAACACCTGATAGAAAATAATGTATTGAACTAGAATTCCAAGTGTTTTTAGAGAACTTGATCTTGTTGTTTCAAAATATATATATTTTTGTTGTGAAGTTGGTAACGTCAATAAAAGATCTGAATATTATTTTAACTTTCTTATTGTACACCTAAGAAGTAGTAGAAAATAAAAAAAAATAATAATAATATTTTTAACCTATGGCTCAAAGTTTTTGCCTGTAATTAGAATTTTTAATAGAAAAAGTTATCTTTTTTGTTTCATTAGCTTATGCTGCAAGAAAGTATTGGCTATTAATCAGTTGCTTATGGGCTTTTGTTTCATTATCCCAGAAGTTAAAAATATCAATTTCATTACATCATTTATGGTGGCATTGCAACAGAGAATTGCATACTCTAATTTTTTTTTCTTTTACAGTATTACCTTGTGATGTTAGAAAATGTTAAGTATTAGCTGCATGAAGAATGTGCTGCAGAGAAATGATTTTCATGTTTAAATAAAAGAGCACTTTAATGTCAAAAACACTGAATTGACATGTATGATTAGTAAATGGAAAAGTGTTTTAAAGATATAACTGATAACAAGATCCCATTACCAGGGATCTAGAAAAGAATCTCTATCGTAGTTTTAGATTTTGACTAAATTCAGGTACATTTATCTTTTAATTGTGTAGCTTGTAATAAAAAGGGATTGGATACATATTTTGCCCCTTGAGAGTTTTGTACTGTTTTTTTTTTTCATTTTCTGCAAATACAGATTCCTATGTTATGAGTTTACATAATGACTAACTATAAAGTGGTAACTTCTTATCAACTTTATGAATACATCAAATAGGAATTTTCTTACAAATAATTTTTTAACAGATTAAATAAATCTAGCTAAAAATTGAAATTTCTTTTTATAACACAAATGCACCACTACATTAGTTTTATCTTTGTGGTTTTTAGTGATTGCACTATGTTTCATTTTTGTCTACTTTGACATTTTTAGAGCATTTTATACCAAAAAAAAGTTCTTATAAATCAGTAAATATGCATAAAAAGTAAAACTACAGAACTTTAAATAAACTCTAAGCTGTAATAATTATTAATTACAAATAAACAACGGCAAATGTTCCCCATTAAATACTGCAAGAATTAGGTTTCATGTTGAGTTTTGTACAATAGAAACATAATAATGCAATAGTCACAATCAGGTTTTATCACTGATAAAATAGTTGTTGAGCACATTTCTTTTGGTATCTATACAAACATAGTAATGTAGTTCCAGGATAATCTTGCACACAAAATTTGCTTTCTAAGTAACTAAAAAAATTTTTTAAAATACCCAGGCTCTAATGTCAAATGTATTCAACATTTTGTGGAACACTGATTCTGTAGATGATTATCTATATGAAATTGAATCTGACTTTAGAGCAATCTCAAGAATAGTAGATGTAGTCCTTATCATAATGTAATATTCTGGAGGATATATCGAGATTGTATAGAGGACCATACTTATTTCAGTTACATAATGTGATATACTATGCTGTACCACATATATCTATTGAGTTTTTGAAGCAAGTAATGTCTATAATCTTTACTAATGAAGAGCCACGATGTGAATCTATTTGAACTATGCTATAAATTGTTAAAACATTTCTGAGGAAGAAGGACAGCTTTTGAAACCTCACTACAGCTGCTTTGTAAGAGGAATAAAGTTGTTTTCTACCAATTAATAATGACTCTGGGCTTAAATTCAATTAAAATTTTCATGGTGTGCTATAGAAAATCTTTTGGTAATTTAAGATAAATTATAGAAATCATTTTGTAACTAATTATTCACATCCTACTTAGAGTATTTACCAAACTAAATTTGAAATTAAAGAATCTCCACAGTCTATTATTCTGGTGACTTGAGGTTATACCCTCTTTTTGGCCATTTTTTTATGTAAAGAAAAAAAATTGTGACTGAAAGAGAGAAATAGAGATAATCTTAACATTCGAAATAAAGTTTATACAAGAAGTAATAAAATGCAGAGCATAATCAACTTTAAGTCTTGAATTCCAACTTTAACTCTTCGGCCTGGGTTTACTTGAAACAAATTTAAATTGAATAAAAGCATAAGACACTGGATAAGGTAAGAACTGCTGGAGATGACAATGAGTTAGTCAAAATTCCGTAATTACATTGAATCAAAACATAAGGCACTCTAAACTGTGGAGCACTCCCACCCCCAAGGGAGATGCAGAAAGTCGGTGGCGAGGGGAACAACTATGACTATAGGAACATATAAATTATTTGAAAGTACAAATTTAAAAATAGACATTTTAAAATCTACCACAAAATATAATAACTCGCGTGGGAAAATAACATGCACAATATATCCACAAATAGGTTAGTGGAGAGTCGCGTCAGCATTCCAACTGCTTTATTTGTTTGTCTGTTGTTGAGCGCAAAGCTGCACAATGAACTATTTGTGCCGTGTCCACCATGATTATCAAAATTCGATTTTTAGCGTCATACGTCCTAAGACTTGCCGCTGAGTAGCTTGGAGGTGGGGGGTACGGGCTGCAAAAGGAACGAGTAGAGGTTAATTCCACAGCGAAAAGTAAATAGAAATAGAAGGTATTTAAACGAAACATTGTCCATTTCTTTCTATTACTCGTATACACACATAGTTTCATATTCGAACGGTTTCGTACAAATTCAAAAGTCTTGTCACTCCAGAAATAGGAGCTCAAATACATTTGTTTTGTTCCGAGTAGTAGTTGTTGGCTGTCCCAAAACACTATATCTCGTTACTTACTGGGTATAATTTGTAATCTATAAATTACGAAACAAGGTAGTTTCCCTTCAAACCACTGATTGTTTTGCCTTATTTTATAAGCGGAACAGAGTTTATAGATAAAACTGATCAGTTGTTCCTGAAACTCATTCTCCTCAATTACCTAATTAAACTTTTATTGTATTTATCGTTTTATTTTTGTGTATTAGTTATTTTTGCTGCCAGCTAAATAAGAGATTTGGTTAATTCAGCATAAAATAGCCGTTTATGCTGTTTACACATCACTAGTGCAACGTTTAAAAATATTTAATTATATTAGAAGCATTCAAAAACCCAGGCAGCAATATCCATTTCTTCAGTAATGTACAAAGGACAATAAAATAGCAGGTTTCTTTTTCAAGAATTGTAAAACAAGCTTTTTATCGGGTGGGTGGGGGGGTGGGGGTTGTGGTAGAGAAGACTCTGGAAATTGTGAGTTGCTTCTGGTACACATAGGTTAGAAATCGAAAAGAAGCGTTCAGCCCCTCTTTTATTCCTATTCAATTGGTCTTATAAACATTTTTACGATCTAAGTTTTTTTTTTTTTTAATTTAAAGCTGAAATCTTTTTTCTTTCCTAATAACTAACAGTAATCAAGGTGTGAAATTTTGTGTATCTTTGTTGTTGACAATTTTTATGACAGAGAAGAAGGGGTACTATGGGGCATAAAGGTAGGGGCTTGAGCCAACCCAGTCACTTTAAGGGAGAGCTATAGGGGTAATCATTCATTCTCTTCTTAGTGAGTTTTTCATCATAAACGATCTTTCTTAGATTAATTATATTGGAATATGCACTGATGGAGAATCTGCATTTACGGAAAACAGAAAGGGTTATGTAAGAGTGTCTAGATATTTTCTAGTGGTATTCTAGCATTAAGAAGAACTGTGGCAATAACCCAGAATTGCTCAAAAGTCTTTCCTTAGGTTAGCCAAAACTTAGAACAAAGTGTTATACATCCAGTTTTGTTTTTATCTGGTCGTCCAATTTTCTGCACTAACTGAAACTAGCTAGTTTTTGATCTGGAATTTTCTCTCCAGAATCCACTTGAAGGCAGCCCATGAGTTTCAGTTTGAAATTTATTTAGATTTTTTTACTATCTTTTTTTATACTAATCCGTCTGTTCAAGTATGTTATATCAGATGGATTTACTAGTAATAAAGTTAGTATCAATTCTTACGGTATATAACTTATGCTGGCGAAGAGTGATCTGCAGAGTGTTAGTTTGTGAGATATAAGATTACAATAAGGATGATAATAATTAATATCAGTCTTATTGCGATGTAGAATAATAATTAGTAAAATACTCCACCTATTTAATTCTTATTAGTTAATCCCCTCCTCGTCTGTTAGAAGATGAAGCATGGTAAGTCACCTCTCTCACCAATTATATAATTTCTAAGTGTCGTGTCACGCTATTCAACGGTGTTAACAGCTGTTAATTCATAGAATTTTCGTCATTGACTTTTACTCTAGCATATCACTTATCAGCCTTACTTCTCACGTAGTTATGAACTGTACAGGTGTAATAACATTATTTTGAAAAGTTACTAACTATAACACTGTATTAATTCTAGACGATTGACATAATTTTAATGATTATTAGTTTCTCTCTTATTTGGCTGGTTTAAATAAGTCAATCTGTCACACCAGAAATAAATTTTCTGTGCTGTAATCTTACAAGTTAGCAACTGACAATAGCCTCATTAAATGTAACTTTACTATTATGGAGTATAAGTACTGGTCTGATTACGATTAGCTTTTAGAGTATATCTAAAATAAACCCTTTCAGCCAAACTAGCATTTGCTGACTAATAAACACTGAATACTGTAAGCTGCACTGATCCATTTCATATATATAGAACTAACTAAACTTCGCATACACTCAAACATATATGTATCACTAATTTTTTTTTTTTCTTGATTTATCTATGTCATGGGGACAGAACATATGAGGATGACATGCTAAGTGATTTATTCATTTTGTTGTAGGTGCAACTGTGTAGAATACTTTCTTGATAGCTCCTGTAATTAGTGTAACGACGGCCCCTTTGTGGATGATTTGCTTGCGAATATTACACGCAGGTAGAAAAGTATCAAACTGATGTTCCACCCTTTAGCGCCTGATTGGCTCTAAAAATAGATTATATAGTATATAATGTTTTATATTTGTATTATTATCGAAGATGTGATTATAGAAAAGATTTGTAAAGAATACGCCATTTACCAAATTTTGTTAAAACTTCTGAGTTATGGTTATGAAAATCCATTCTTAACTTGAAAAGTGTTTGTTAATTCACAGTTCCATTATGGTAAAATTGAATTAGTACCATCGTGTAATGCTAATCACTCCAGTTCTGTCACTGGTCAATACAATAATATTTTCTAATATGCAAATATTGTCATTCAAGGCATTTATAAAATTAGGTGAATAAAAGTTTTAGTAACGATATGCCTATTTTCCTGTATTGGTCAATTAAAAAACTCATAAAATTCGTAAACGTGATATTTGTGGAAAAAAGTAGAATAATCCTTTTTGAAGTATTTAGTTATAACTGTAAGCATTTGTTTAGTTTTTTACGTATCATTGTATGTTATTAAATTAAAAACTTTGCACACATATTATTAAAAATACAACAGTTTGTTTGTTTGTTTTGAATTTCGCGCAAAGCTACACGAGGGCTATCTGCGCTAGCCGTCCCTAATTTAGCAGTGTAAGACTACAGGGAAGGCAGTTAGTCATCACCACCCACCGCCAACTCTTGGGCTACTCTTTTACCAACGAATAGTGGGATTAACCATCACATTATAACACCCCCACGGCTGAAAGGGCGATCATGTTTGGTGGGACGGGGATTCAAACCCACGTCCCTCACATTGCGAGTCGAGCGCCCTAACCACCTGGCCATGA